ATGAACCGATCTAATTTGATTCAATCAACAAGGGATTAAATAGAAGTAACACCATTACATTTAAGTAATCACTATAAGTTTATATAACAAGTGATGATAGGTTAGAATATTGGTAAATCTTTCTAATGAAGAGAAGGTATTAAAGTGTCAACACTGAGAATTATTGAGAAATTCAATCATATACCAGGATGATATTCAGTTAGAATCTACATTCATAATTTCGAAGATTTTGAAAAAGGCTTCTAAGTAAATAGTTCAATGAGGAACATTTATTGGCGGTTTGCTTGAACTTTATTATTATTATTTGTACCTTGGGTTCCTAGTGGAACATACCGCTTCAGTAGCACGTCTCCAGTGACCTCTGTTCTCTGAGATCTTTTGAACCTGGTTCCACGACAGCCAACAAGCTCTCATTTCTTCCTCACATCATCTCCTCCATGTCACCCTCACCTCGGACACCCAACTCATCGTTTCTCATTTGCATTCCACTCGACGGTCTGGCCTGGCGTGTGATGTCCCCAGTCGACCTTCTCAGTGCATGCCCAATCCATCTCCACTTCCTCCCAGTGTATATTTATTGCGTGATACGTTCTTGCCTCGTTGGTTCGTTCCCAGAGCTCCTTGTTGCTTATTCTTTCTGGCAATCCATCTGATTTTCAGTAACGAGCTAGCGTGAGCAGTTGTTGATGAATGTCTGTAGTTTATCGGAAATCACTTTCGTAACGCGCCAACTCTCTCAACCATCACATAGAAGCACTGACTTCACGTTCATGTTGAATATCCGCATCTTGTTCACGCTTTATGCTGAGTGCAGAAGATCTTCACACTGGTCTCAGGTTTATGAATGCCTGTCTTGCTTTTCCGATTCTCACTTTGACATCCTCGTCTGTCCCGCCACCTGTAGTTGAAACAGTGCTGCCTAGATAGGTGAAGGAGGCTACTTCCTTTAAGTTTCTCCCGTTGATGACGATTGGAGTTTGTTGTTGGTTGGTCGGTCTGTTGGGTATCTTCATCACTTCTATCTTCTCTATATTCACTTGAAGTCCCATCTTCGCTGCCCCTTCGTTGCCTCTTCTGTCAACTTGTTAGTTTTCGCCTGCAGATATTCTAGTTTATGTGACATCAGACACAAGTCATCACTGGCGAAATCCAAGTCTTCTAGGTTCTTTTCCGCGGTCCAACGTATCCCCCTCTTCTCGCTCCTCACAGTTTGTTGCATGATCCAGTCGACCACAATCATGAATATCATGGGCGACAGTAGGCGGCAGCCTTGTTTTACTCCTGTCTTCACCTCACTTCAAAGGCATCACTGAGCTTCTCATTGTGAATTACTTGGCATGTGGCACCTTCATATAGTTGTTGAATGAGGCCGATAAAGGCTTGTGGTATTGCATAGTATTGAAGCGGCTGCCTGCCAAATTACTTCTCAGTCGACGCTGTCAAAGGCCTTATCAAAGTCGATGAAGTTGAGGTCGAGAGTTGACTGCCATTCTATACTCTGTTCTATGATGATGCGTAGAGTGGCGTCGCAGTTTGGTCCACACATGATTTGTACTTCCTGAAGCCAGCCAGCCTGTTCCGGTCGTAATTTTGAATCCAGCGCATCCTTTAGTCTCTCCAAGATGATGCGGCTTAAGATTTTGCTTGGGGTGGACATAAGCATGATTCCGTTCCAGTTCTTGCAAACACTGAGGTCTCCCTTCTTCAAGAGTTAGACAAGGTAGCCCTTCTTCCAATCTGCAGGTACCTTCCCTTCCTTCTACACCTTCTGCGATAGTGGTGTGAGCATGTCCGTGCTTGAACTTTAGACCACTAAAATTTTCCACTGAATATATATTGTCAAATTTTGTACTTTTATAAACTTCAGGATCAAAATTTGATCGGATAGAGTTGAATAAGTTGAGCATTGATTAGGTAATTGGATTATAAATTTCTGACGTTTCACGACTTCGTGAATATCGATTCTACTACTTCAGAGAATAAAACCTGTACAAGTTATCGATAGTTTAAAGTAGTAAAAGGTGACGAATCAGATCAAATTCTTTTTTATACATGATGATAATATGAACGTGAATATCATTAGTATAATTGTTTTTATATGATACCGTCGTTGATCTGACCGAATTGATCGGTCTCTATTAGCATATAGGTTCGTCTCCGGATGCCTCGATATTCCCAGCGTCCTAATTATGTTAATGATGAATCGTGGCTAGCAGTGGAATACAGAATGCGCATTTCACCCTATTTGGGACTCACTGGTCAGCTGGATATGTCTGCTTCCCAGTGAATGATGTTTTTCCCACCAGAATACGGACTCGGGAGACAAAAATTGTGAACGCTTCCTGATCAGCACATAACGATGACATTCACGTTCATATTATCATCATATAGAGACAGACAATGTGATCTGATTCGTCACCTTTTACTACTTTAAACTATCGATAACTTGTACAGGTTTTATTCTCTGAAGTAGAATCGATTCCCACATGGACGCGAAACGTGATATATAGAAGATGTCAAGTTCGTTGGGAATGTATTATATATTTTCATGCATAGGACGCTTAGCTCAGATATCAAATGGTTGTATTGGCTAAATGAACTGTTACCATAGAAATTTCATTCAATTTTCTATATATCCTTCATTCTAAACCAGAAGTTAAATCTAACACCAATTGAGTGTTCAACATCAATCGAATACAGTGATTATTTCGTTTCAATATACTGTTTTGGTAGTGAACTTGCTGAAAATAGATGAAAATGAGTTCAAACAGCGTGATAATATGAATCATGTCACACTTATGGATGAGGTTGGTACTCATCATGAACTGACATCAGTCGAACGAATATTGAAGACCTGGGAGTACTGGATACCAGGTGTTTCGTCCGAGTGTGAGATACTTCAGTAGTGCGCACCCATGACTCCGCCCCACCCCGCCAAGGATCTAACTCAGATCTCATGCATACCACGTTACCATCGAGCTAGCTACTAGGTTGTCAGAATTCAATGGTTCATCTTTCCTACTTCTGTCACTTCAAGATAGATAGATATAAGGCGAACATCACTCAATGTCATTGTTGAGTATTTGTCCTTACGTCGACCCAGTTTAACCTCACGGCCACCAGGTTTGCCCCACCAGTCACGACTTCTCACTGGAACTTCAAGAACCACCTCTTGAACCTAGTTGCTCCAATGAGCACTAAGACATTGGATTAGTTCAAATTGATGAAACTATAAATTATTTGTCGATAGTTTGCAACATGATGAAACAGGTTTAGTGTGATCCAACCTTTATAAAACCAAACATCAAGAAAAATTCTCAAAAGGTACCGTTGGAAGCTCAAGCATCAACGTCAACAATTACACAAATGCTGAAGCCAGTTCAAAGCCCCATATAAAACAAGCAAATGGATACCGAGATCGTCTACAAGCCAACTTAGCTAGCAAACAACTGGAAAACCTTAAATCTAAGCAAATTCACAAGTCACTGACTGCGGTAATTCATCACATAACCCAGTAGCTTATCGAGTAGATCAACTACTCCCACATAACCTTGGCTCAGACTAGACAAAATATTTCAAAGTATCGTTTGTAACACTGAGAGTGTTGCTTGGAATCAGAAACACAGCAGTAATGACAGTATTATTATTATTATTATTCCCTTGGGTTCCTAGTGGAATATAGGGCTTTGGCGGTACATATACTAAAATTGGAACGATACAGAGAAGATTAGCATGGCCCCTACGCAAGGATGACAAGCAAAATCGTGAAGCGTCCCATATTTTTTAACCTCGCCTGGTTAACTAGTTTACTAGTTACTAGCCGGTCCTAAGCCCCAGGTAAAGAGGGAAGGTTGGACATACAGCTAGCAACCCTACCCCGTAAAACAAATCTAACCGCTAAACAAACTTCAAAGCACAAACGAAATATAAAAAATAAAAACAAAATTATTCCTCGCTGGAATCAGAGAGGCGAAATGACGCCAGTTGATGAAAGCCTGCCTTCAAGAAGCCAATTGGCCGATGTGTCTTCTCTTCTCTCGATGAAAGCAAAAGTAAACGTGGGGACATGGAATGTCCGCATGATGTTTCAACTCAACAAGGCAGCTCAGTAATGACATTACCATCTACTCAAATGAGTCAGTCAATGCATCCTTCAGGCAACTTATAAAAGACTTATCTGAAAAATAGACACAGCATCTAAAGCTTATCATCTTCAAATCTAATCACTTTAAACTATATAACAATACAGATCCATCTGAAAACTATTGAGGAATAATTCTTCACGATCTACCAGAAGTTTTTCAATCAATTACTACAAGAAACCATTGACTTATTTATCTCTATTTCAAAGGGATATGATGAATCAATGAACAACCTTTAGCTTATTGATGTAGTAAACACAATAAGCCATACACCTACCTATCTAGCTACTGTTCAAACTTTGATAGACCGAGTGGGGTTCCAACCAACCACCTAATAGTCCAACACACACAAACACAATATATATATAGAAGAAATTCTCAACAATATCTGAATATGTTTTTTTTTCTTTTCTTAAATAGAAAAAAACGTAGAAAAAGAAAGAAAAAAAGAGAAGAGAAGAGAAGTAGAGACAATATGAGACAGAGAATACCAATCAGTGGAATGTAAAAACAAACAAACCACAACCATCATCATTTTTACCCACTCTGTACACTTAATAATAATCAGTAGGTAATAAATAATGATCAAGGGTTATCATGAGCAAATCTAGAATAGTCAGCAGTACAAGAAATGCATATCTGCATCATTAGTGTAATAGACAAAATAAACCTTGTATAGTATATAGTATAGTATAGTATAGTATGGTGTAGTATGGTACATATATATATATATATATGTACAAAATGCGGAATTGCCGACAAATGATAACTATTGGCAAGGAAATGAATTAAAACAACACGGGGGTAAACAACAACAACAACAACAACAATACCAACCATTAGTGAATCATTGACTCTCTATTGTCGATTATGACTAACTAGACAATGTCGAAATAAACTTTCTTTTGAAATAAATGAAATCTGACAAATAGAACAATTGAATTTTCCATCATAATATGAATTCAATAAATTAGATAATGATGATAATTTATTAGAGAAATTCTTTACAAATAGTCTAGATGTTTCATTTATATCATTACCATACTCATTATCATTATCAACCAATGATGATGATGAAGGCATTCTTATCATTGGTACATTCAGTCTATTGATATTATAATCATCCAGATTTAAACGATTCTCATCATTATGATTAGAATCAATTTGTAGAAGCTGTTGATGTGTAGAAGAAATAACTGAATCATAAATCAAAATTTAAAGAGACAAAGAGATAGAAAGAGATAGAGATACATTGATTAGATTTATATATTGCCAGTAAAATGTAACAATAAACTTGAAGGAATATATCTGCATTCCAGTATATGAAATGATGTTGTTCCCCACTTAGAATTCAACTTCATATTCATCGTTTGAAAACGCTGACATGTTATCCATTATGTCATGGAAGAACGATAGCTATTTCGTGTACAACGGATATATTCTGGATCGAACTAATCAACCTCCGTGGCGTTTGAAGCGATGACTATGAGGTTCAAGTCTCAGTGGGAACAATATTACTTCGGAGTGGATTGCAGGTATGTCTAGTTGATGAGTCACAAGTAGGACGAAACGCACGTTCTGGATTCCTCTTCTACCCACAAACAACTAAATTTCAATATCTTTCTTTGACGTATTCTTTGACTCTACAGTTGTCCAGATCGCTGAAGGGCACATTCTTCTCTACGAAGCTATACATCAACTTCTCTAGTCAGCAATTGGTTTCCAGATATGTGAACTACAAGTTGCCGCTGTGGATCATCATTTCAGTGTATGTGTCTACATGCCCCTATGGAGCTAGTTATATAGACCGCACAAAGTGCCCAGTTTCTAAACGTGTATCTCTGAGCACTATCCTGAATAGTTGTCTAGAGGAGAATGTAAATCAGTCGACACTTCAATTCTTGAACATTTTGTCCACTTTGGATACATATAGGCCGACCAGAGTTCTCCTTCAGTATCATTTAATACAGTCAAGTAGAATAGTTGAAAAGGTGTACACCTTCAACAATTGGGTGCAGCGGAACCACTGGCAATTCAACAATTCATGCCTGATCTCTGTATCCATAGGAAGTATATTCAATCTCTTATCATGGTCTTAACACTTTCACAACAACGATTTCAATGACATGAAATTCACAATGGAGAAGGAGTCGAGCAACCAACTACCATTCCTGGATGTTTTAGTCAGTAGGACAAATGCCAGAAAGCTGTAAACCTAAGTGTACAAGAAGCCAACACACACTGACCAAATCCTCAACTACAATAGCAACAACCCAACAACACACAAAATCAGTTCCGTACAGACTCTATTCAGAAGAGCGCTAACACACTGCAGTACAACAACTTCAAGGAAGAAATCAATAAACGCATCGTCCTACCATACATAAAGAATATAGCAGAAATCATCACAAGGTTGCTGAGACCATTTGGAATTGGTGTGGCCACTCATAAACCAACGAATTCCCTCCAAACACTTTCTTGCAGACCAAAGGATGCAACAACCGAGGAAGATAAACCGAATATCAACTGGAATAACTGACTACAGTCAGCACTTCATTCATTGGACAAAGTGGTCGCCCCACCTACTTCGTCTACATCAACACTAATTGGCTATTAAACGCCACCACATTTCATCACTCATTTCAATGCACATGGATAACAACTATGGAGATGAATTGAATTTTGACAATGTAGAAATCTTCGAAGGGGAGAGGAAATACAAAGAATATCACCAGAGAATTCCTAGAAACTTGGCATTCAGTTCAGTTAGTCAGCAATCAACAGATGTATAGACATACACCCAATCTATCAACCAATGAGAAAGATGATAAACGACAGAAAGGTCAGAGGTCAAACGGAGGGACAACCAACAGGAAAGTCTATGGTGTCAGTGAATGACACAACAATCGAAGGAAACAACCAATCACAGACCGCTTCGTCAAGGCAAGCAGCTACTAAATAACTGACGGAGAGATATTGACAGCTCACTTCATACTGAAGTTAGTGCTGATGACGTCGTCTAGCAAGACGATGAAAGCTTCAGCATTAAACAACCCAGCTCCTTCAGAGAACACAATACAACCAAGACTTTCACAATCTTGTTTCGATTTCATTATAGTTAGTTCACTATTATCAACTTCAGCATGACCTTCGTCTCATTCTTCACCTTCTTTACATTTATCTATCTATCAAGTGGACATATTCCACATCTACCAACAAGTTTAGCCTTGCCTTCTTCATTGTTTCCATTGTCTTGATTTCAGTTCTTTTTAGCACTAGCTGGCTTAACGATGCAATTATGGACTATTGGCCTAGAACAGACTGTTATATGTTGATGATATATATACGTTTGTACAGTTTTATGGATGATAAGCTCAGTCATAAACTGAGCGAAACGGTCATCCGGTGTTTAGATCAATCTATAAATTGATGATCCTATTCAAGGTATACTACTGGTCCATACAAGTCAGCCATCCAACCAAAAATTCAGCTGATCTGAAGTAATTCGGCTCTATGAGCTGAATTTATCCCAGTACACTGTTGATGAACTGGTTTGTCTCTAAAACAGGCGTAACGCCCATACGTTATTTAAACCACTTCGATATGACAGGTTAGCTGGCGGAATAGAATCAACGGATCAGCCTAACTGCTTTCGACAGTATGAAATTATTATTATCATTATTATTATTATTGTTACTCCCTTAGGTTCCTAGTGGAACATACCGCTTCAGTAGCACGTCTCCAGTGACCTCTGTTCTCTGAGATCTTTTGAACCTGGTTCCACGACAGCCAACAAGCTCTCATTTCTTCCTCACATCATCTCCTCCATGTCACCCTCACCTCGGACACCCAACTCATCGTTTCTCATTTGCATTCCACTCGACGGTCTGGCCTGGCGTGTGATGTCCCCAGTCGACCTTCTCAGTGCATGCCCAATCCATCTCCACTTCCTCCCAGTGTATATTTCTTGGGTGATAGGTTCTTGCCTCGTTGGTTCGTTCCCAGAGCTCCTTGTTGCTTATTCTTCCTGGCAATCCATCTGATTTTCAGTAACGAGCTAGCGTGAGCAGTTGTTGATGAATGTCTGTAGTTTGTTGGAAATCCCTTTCGTAACGCGCCAACTCTCTCAACCATCACATAGAAGCACTGACTTCACGTTCATGTTGAATATCCGCATCTTGTTCACGCTTTATGCTGAGTGCAGAAGATCTCCACACTGGTCTCAGGTTTATGAATGCCTGTCTTGCTTTTCCGATTCTCACTTTGACATCCTCGTCTGTCCCGCCACCTGTAGTTGAAACAGTGCTGCCTAGATAGGTGAAGGAGGTTACTTCCTTTAAGTTTCTCCCGTTGATGGTGACTGGAGTTTGTTGTTGGTTGGTCGGTCTGTTGGGTATCTTCATCACTTCTGTCTTCTCTATATTCACTTTAAGTCCCATCTTCGCTGCCCCTTCGTTGCCTCTTCTGTCAACTTGTTAGTTTTCGCCTGCAGATATTCTAGTTTATGTGACATGAGACACAAGTCATCACTGGCGAAATCCAAGTCTTCTAGGTTCTTTTTCGCGGTCCAACGTATCCCCCTCTTCTCGCTCCTCACAGTTTGTTGCATGATCCAGTCCAGTCGACCACAATCAGGAATATCATGGGGGATAGTAGGCAACCTTGTTTCACTCCTGTCTTCACTAGGATGAAACTAGCTGGTATTTAATTACAAATGTACCTGACGGTTTTCATGCGGCGTTTTCGCTGCATCAACCATTGTACCTAACTTTCGTATGGATATAGCTTCAAAATTCTTTTCCAGTCGAATGTTCAGTTCAACAACTGATTATGTTATAGACAGCGATCTGTAAACAGGACCTCGATTGCTGGTTATCTATGAATCTCGTCTACCCTAATGTTAACCGCGTATCTCTACTGTTTTTGTTTTTAGTTTTATACTACTTAGTACTTTTTCAGTAGTATAATTCGCATCTTCCTTTAATGTCACTTCCTCCCCAACTTGACTGTTCATAGTCTCATCTTTTTCATCATTTAAGCAGCCGTAGATATTAGTGCCTTTCCTAGTCCATGATGGTGTTGGGATCGTTTCCGGTGTTTCTTCATATTCACTTTGAAAGTAAAAATCTCCTTATCTAATGTCTTTACCAAATGGTGGGGAGGTACTGGCGACTTTTACATGCGCTTGTGGCTTTCTTTGAAGACAACTTTGCTGTTTTTATGGTTGGCATGTGCGCGCTCTCTCTCTGTACGGTGTCTTGATAGCGATAAAACGATAGATATCTCATGATCCAAAGTCTTTAACTGATTAGTCATCTATATTTATTTCAGACAATTTTACGCCGAACTCGCGTATTTGGTTTATTGTTGACAATGGCTTGTTCGATAAAGTTCAGAATTTTTCTGGACGAAATCCACACATACAAATGTCATACATGGAAATATACATCTAATAAAAAGAGAAAAGGAAGCCAGAGAAAAGAAACTTCTCTTTAGCTTATAACCTTACCGTTAGACGCTGGTTTTATGATCAGATCCCAATCCAACTGTGTTGTCCTCAGTTGATGAACACTAAGCATATGACGACGACATGACTTTCGAATAATGAATCGTCTATGACATAGATAACATCTGTTGTTGTTTTTTGAACAAAAGGGAAAAGAAAGTTAACTAAACAAGATTTTCTGTGTGTGAATTTTATTTTATATTTCACTACAATTACTAAATGTGTTGTTACTTACTGAGTTGTTAACTCACATTTTTCCCTTCCAGATTCTCGTGGTCAACGCTGAACTCACATTCCTCTACATGACCCCCATCGCCCGCCCTACAGGCTAGAGGAAAATCTATTAACAATTGGTTGTTACAATTTGGTGTCGAAGGTGGGATCCGTCTCCCACATGATCAGATCGACGTTCACTTAACAACAATCATCCTCTTCGATTGTAACCCTCCACCGGCTTCAAACATTATATCTAGCCCCTAACTTACCACCTAGGTACACTCAAGTACTGAGACAAGGAAGGGGGGAGTGAAGGGAGAGGAGCAGTGTAACGACGCACTTGAAACAATACTCATCTGCTATACAGTTTCAATTCTTAGACTGTCTCACCTCTTCGTTATCAAGCCCTGCTGTTTATCAATTATTTTTAATTATTACATGTAAGAACGTCCTGTGTATTTGCTGGCGTTTCAAGCGATCTATGCTGGGCATAAATCTTAGTGGGGACAACATCACTCTCACTGAGAGGTGACAAGTGCATTCGGCTGACGAGTCACGTATATGACGAAGTGCACTTCATGGTTTCCACTGCTAGCCGTCATCATCTATCATACGTGATAACTGTTACAGAGTGAATAAACCCTTCTTGTTTTCCAAAGATGTCATCCGGATAGAACTGATTCTAGAACGATAGAAAACTCACTACACGTTTCAATCTTTAACATGTGCATTAGAAGATAATATATGATGTCTTAGAGTGTTTCAAATCCTTCAATAATTAGTTCCAGAATGAGTGATATCAGTGGAATAAGCAACCATATGAAGGTTTGTGCACAAGTGGATGACCAAAACACTTAACTACGAGTAATAGAAATGGATTTGAAGAAACTTGAGTGTTGACAGAGTTGTGAGGGCGATTAAAACTTCCCGGATGTCCACACCATAGAAGGCTATTCCTTCTTAAGATACCTGAAAGAGGTTTGTGTGACTGCAGAGCCCATCGGACATCTGCTTCAGGTCTGTCACATTCAACCTTTTGTGTATGGTTGTTTCGAACTTTTGTTGTTTTCGAGCCCGATGGTCGAAAAGAAACGTCAAATGAACCAACACCGACAGCCCGTGGGGTATGGTGGTGTTATTTTTGGGGCCGACCTTTTCTACCCCCCTCCACCCTTCCACTGCGAAGGCAGCATCAGCATGGCACTGCTGGTCATCCAAGGTAAACACCTTACTGCTGTCGTACCCCATCCAGCTAGCAGCAGTACGACTTCGCCCTCAGACCCCCAATCATACTACAGTAATATACACCACAACAGTAACTTCTTTTCGTCTAACCACTATCCAACAGACCTTTCTGGTATGGTAGGACCTCGAAGGAACAAAGAGTTCCAACATCATACCTCATTGGGTCAGTGTGATATGCAAGTTCGACCACCAAGTCAAGGTAGCTGCTATTGGTCCGGTAACAGAAATATGAACAGAGTGATTGAAATTGGTCTGTCCAATGAGCAACAATATCATCAACAGTTTCTAAACGCCGATTTCGCTGGTCACGTCACGAAAACCGACATCAAAAAGCCTATATTCTCCTTCACGCTTCAGATCAACAATCTTAGACTTTATGAACTGATTTCATGTTTCTAGTCTGATCACCTTCGTTTTTTTTCCCAGGCTAAATCTGCATTATGTAACATTGAACGTCGCGCACATGGTGACTGCGTATGTGTAAAACGAGTTCTGACTAGCTCAATTGATGAAGGTTTACAACTAAAGCAGATGATTAACGTGGTGTTACGACGACACACTTTCCTATGTTATGAAAGTAACGGGGATTTGAACACTTGAAGTCATCTCTCATGTTTCTCCACATTTAATACGCATATTTCATGGTCAGATAGTTAAACAAAGAGAACAGTCATGCAGTACATTCAACCCTTGGCAAGCTAAACCGATACCTAACCATTGCCAGGGATGGATGGTTTGAACTGGTATCATTCAGTGATCCGTTATAGGTTAGTGAACTGATAAGTGCGCTCAACTACTCATTCTACATTCAATCATCATAGAACACAGCATAGAATGCCAGTCAACACTTTACCTCGACTTCATTGATTTTTAAAAGCCCTTTCATAGCGTCAACCCACAACTATTAGAGTAGCTGTTTCCAACACTACGCTTTCACTAACACAAATCTTTATCAACCCATTTCAACACCAGCTACATGCTATATGACGATGCTACATGCCAAGTAATTCACAATAAAAAAAAACTCAGTAATACCTTTCAAGTGAAAATAGGAATAACACAACCTTGCCCCCTATTATCATCGACCACCTTCCTCATTCTAATCCACTAGATCATTCAACAAACAACTGTGAGGAGAGAGAAGACGGCCATACACTGGCTGTTCGACAAATGAAAACACCCTAGACCATTCGGATTTCACCCATCATCATTTATGTATCATGTCTCAACTCGCACAAACTCGAAGATATACAGGCGAAAACTAACAACTTGACAGAAGAGTCAGCCAAGGGGCAGCGAACACGGCACTTCCTTCAGGTGAACGTAGAGAAAACACACATGATGAACATACCCAACCACCACCAACAACAACAACAACAAGCACCAATCACCATCAACAACAGAAATCTAAACGAAGTTACCTCTTCCACCTACCCACCTACCTACCCAGGCAACATCGTCTCAACTACAGGCGGCACAGGTACACATCAGAATGTCAAACACAGCCACCATCGGAAAAACACCAAGACACACCTTCCTTCATCAATCTCAAATAATCAGTGTGCAGACCTACTGCACTCAGCTGCATTGCATCGCATTGCATTGCATTGTATCGCACTCAACATAAAGCGTGAACAACATCCACATTTTCAACACTACTAATGTCAGTCAAGTAAGTCAGTGTTTCGATATGATGGTTGAGAGACTTGGCACCTTACGAAAACCATTTCCAACAAACTACACACATCATACATGAACACTACCACCTACGCTTACTCAATACTGAAGATGGAGATCAAATGGATGGCCAGAATAATAAGAATAAGCAAGAAGGAACTCTAGCTGGCTGGCTGGCTGCCTGGCAACGTACCAACGAACTAACCAAGAATCTATCGTCCAACAAATATGTAGAAGAACAGAGTGGAGATCGATTGGACTGGACATGCAGTGAGAAGACGGTTTTGGGGACATCACGCGTCAGGTCAGGCCATGCCATCGAGTGGAACCTAAATGGGAGACGACGAATTAGTTAGGAGTTCAAGGGTGACATGAAGATGGTGTGAGGAAGAAATGAAAGCTTCTGGGAAGTCGTGGAGCCAGATTAGAAAGACTGCAGAGAAGGGAGTGAAACAGCAACGTGTTACTGAAGCCCTTGTTCTACTAGGAACCCGAAGGACATAGTATAGTATAGTATAATAATAATTATTATTATGTTGAATACCAACTTGAAAAATCACTGAATCTCCACAAACCGCTAAATTTAAATAAATAGAAATGGTCGACAGAGCCATGAACATATTCGAAACCTGTTTAGTTTCCACAGGTTTGCTGCTCCTGAGCCTTTTTCTCATAGAACGTAGGATCTTAGACACCATTTCTATCAAACTGACTACCCTATGGATATTATAAGAAGATTAATCTACGTTCCTAAAGACCAGTTAGTGAAGATCAAAGGTGATTCATCACATAGGCTACCTAAACATTGTGTTTAAATACCAGTAGTACTAGTCAATTTAGCGCTTCACTGTTCTCTTATATTTCATGTTACTTAGAAGTTTATCAACTTTTTCAAGATTTGAACGGTCAATTATGTCAGCGTTTCATTCATCAAGAGACGATTTAATAGCAGAAATCTGAAGGCCGCCTTCGCTAATCACCATTGTTCACGTCCGTCTACATTTCAGTTGCTTCCACTCCTGATCGTGCTAGAAGGTTTCAAAAGAAATGTCCGGGTAAACGGAAATGGTTTCAGCCTGTGATTACTATTTATCCTTACAGTTAGTTCATCGCACGTTTGAAAAAAAAAACGCCGATATAAGATGTTAAGGGGTCGAAAGGAACTCAGTATCCAAACATAGGACATGCCAACCAGGCTTCAACCCATTTTGAATGCAAAGGAGAACAAGGAATACAATTGAAATACTCATCTTTTACACAGTCCTTTAAAAAAAAGAGTTACACAACTAGTTCAATCAATCTCAACTATCATCCAACTGTTGTGTCTACAGGGTTCGCATTGGCAACCACATCCAGTCAACCAAGATCAGGTGTGCACTGATTGGTGTAATCTACAGGTCAGTCTGAGTAGCTCCCAACTACTCGAGTTGCCCATTAGTAGTATATTTCAATCGAATCTTGGCTTCAGATATTTAGCTACATGTATGCTAACATAGTTAATGTAGTAACGATGACTCAATTATATTCACAAGGATGAATGTACAGGCCACCCCAACAACTGCTAAAATGACCAATCAGGCTTCGGTCTTTCTCCTGAGAAAGTACTTTCCCATAAAATAAAGGAATGTAATTGGTTATCACATTAGTTATGAGGATGGCCTTTAAAATCACTGGTCTGAAGAACGACGAAGCGACAAAAAATGGTGATAGCATCCGTTTTATAATTCCTAACGTGATATACGGAGTGGCTTTAAAGGTAAATCTAGCAACTATCGAGATAACCAATCATTTTCCTTCATTTAAAGAACAACTGCCTTGCCAACCGAAATGCTGAAAGGTGATTGGTCATTTCAGTAGTTGTTAATTGGACCTAAAATAACCAATCAGGTTGCGACATTTTGTCTGGGAAGATAGTTTTCCATAGATTACAGAAGCGCGATTGGTTATTTCACCAGTTGCTAGGGTGGCCTTTAAAGTCGTTCCAAATTTAATGGCTAATTAAAAAACCGTATTGATCACAAGATACTTTCGGTGTTTTTTTTTACATACTCCAGTTAAAACCCACTTGCCAATATGCTACAACTTTATCTGACTGCAATTGACTTGAGCACATGATTCAGCCAATTAAGTATTAAACAGTGATTTTGAACGTGGTTGGTCTGAAGTATGCCTACCAAATTTCATATACTCAATTCACTCGCGCATGGGATGAGTCACACGATTCTACCCTCCGAACCATAAATTAAAACAGATTGGGTGACTTTAAAGGCCCCCCTAGCAATTGTAGAAATGACCAATCACGCTTCGCTATTTCGTTTGGATGAGTACTTTCCTATAAAGCAAAGGAATATGATTGGCTGTCTCACCAGTGGCTAGAGTGGCCTTTAAAGTTTCGGAACACAACAAAAAGTCTCATCCTTATTATCTACATATACACATATCAGACGATCTCCAACTAAATTATCTGACCGCAACGCATTATAATTAATAAAAATGAACCAGCTGATTGGTTGATTTCAAGCTTAGAGTATACGATAATGCATAATCCATGGGTTACACCAAAAATGCTATGATTACTTCCAAAATATACGTCATACAGAGATGAATAAGGAGTCGATCGAAAGCTCTTGAACCAACAGAGTTATACAGCACTTATGTTATCAATGATAAACAACACTTATATCTGAAAAAGATATATAAAAATAAAACGGGGGGGGGGAGAAGAGGAGGAGGAAAGAGAAGTTAAAACTCACTGATATATATTGCGGCGTTGAGAAGCAGAGAAAACAGGTAGATTCGGTTGTGAGGTATGCATCTTGAGATTACGATGAGATAAACAATGATCTTCCCAACTATCTATTGTTTGCTTTTCTCCACAAAGTACACAGATCCTGTAATGTATGAGTATTCCACACATAAACAAACATAAAAGAAAGAGATAAGCTGAATGAATGATCACCAAGTTGGTCACAAACAGACAATAACTTAGATCATTTCTACCTACCACTTTAGTATATCAGACAAAAAAAAATACTTCATACAAAAATCACTTATAACCAGTCATAAAAACACGAAATTGAAGTTTCAATTAGATGGCAATTAAAGAAGTTAGCTTAGGAAGTGTGGCATAATTAGAAAATCCCGCCGTCCTTGAACAACTGCCGAACGACCTTGAGGTAGCCAATCAAATTGGAGGTGATTATGCAGTCCTTCGTGGAAAACACTGAGATTGTTGAAATTGATTTCACAACGAACAATATTTTTTTTCAATAGAATTCTCTCATCACTTGAATTGTAAGCGCACAGAAAAATGCTTCTTCTCCACTGTTCAAAACCAATGTAGTTGATGTTAGTTTTGAACCTATGCGGATATCCGTTTTCACTTAGAATACGAAGTGGAGAAAGTGCCTATACTGTGCCTTAGACGTCGGTTTTCTACATATACTTCTTAGCATAGGGACATCCTTGTTTCTTGTCATTAGTACATCAAGAAAATGTATGGGATCATTGATTTCATTTTCGTATGTAAAATGAATTGATGGATGAGCACCGTTGAAATGGCTATAAATAAAGCTTGTACAGAAGTTTGATGATAATGATGATTTCGAGTAAATCGAAGGGACTAGATCGATAGCGTCTACCTTCACGTGGTGGTCAAGTTTGCAGCATATCACAATGACTCAGCGGGCTACATTGGCTGGAACACTTGTTCTTTCGAAATCTACCATGTCCTAAGGGTCTATTGGATAATGGTAAGACGACAGAAAACAAGCTGTACTGAGTTATTCTCCACAAACTGACATGTGTGATGCACGTATGAGTTGTCTGGGCTTGTTGTGAAAGATGTCCACAAGTGGCGTAACTATACTGTAATGGATTACTGACGTCCTATATTCCCTCGACTAATACTATGATCCTAATGGCCCCAGTACTAAAAAAAACATTCTACTCGTTCTTTGTTTACTCCTTTTTTTTAAATCCATAAATTTTCGCCTAGCCTAATGACAGCTACTTATAAGGATGTATATAAGTAGTTTATGGAAGTTGATAACAATGGATTGGTGAGGAGCATACAATATTCGATGAGATATACACAGCACAAGAGGTAAGCGTAATAACATGCTGAACGGGAGATAATTTGCGAATGGATAAAATGTTGCTAAGTATAGGGAATTTTACCAATATCAGAGGTATTTCCCGCATTAGACGATTTCAACCCGACGTTAGTTAGAGACATCCACACTAGTATTCGATGTCATCAGCCTAATGTCTTTTTAAAATTCTACAGTAAGCCTCTTCACTGCTTTTTGTTCCGATTTCCGTATCACAGAGTCATTCTTATCCTTTTGATATCGAGCTGCTCCAAACAGGATTTGAATTCTTTATTCTCAAACCAAGGACCTTGGTCCATCAATATCATCTTCGGTACACCATGATCTGTAACAATATGCCGCATCATAGCCACGGTCACTGTCTTTGCACGTTGATCAAGAATCGCGACAGCGTCTACCCAACGTGCAGCATGATCTGTCATCACCAACAGGTATTGGTTGCCACTAGGTGTCTATGGAAATGGTCCCATAACATCCAAGGACCGCAGGTCACCAACTGTTGCTACTGGAATAGACTGAAACAGCAGTCGTACATATCGATCACCTTTCATCAACTGACAAGGTGGACAGCCTAGAATTATTATTATTATTATTAGTCCCTCTAGTTCCTAGTGGAACATAGGGCTTCAATAGCACGTCTCCAGTGACCTCTGTTCTCTGAGATCTTTTGAACCTGGTCCCACGACAGCCCACAACCTCTCATTTCCTCCTCGCACCACCTCCTCCATGTCACCCTCTCCTCGGACGTCCAACTCGTCGCTTCCCATGGGGATTCCACTCAAGTGACTGGCCTGACGCGTGATGTCCTCAGTCGGCCTTCTCAGTGCATGCCCGATCCATCTCCACTTCTTCCTGCATATTTGTTTAGGGATAGGTTCTTGGTTGCTTCGTTCCCAGAGTTCCTTGTTGCTTATTCTTTCTGGCAATCCATCTGATCTCCAGTAGCCAGCGTAAGCAGTTGTTGATGAATGTCTGTAGTTTATTGGAAATGCCTTTCGTGATGCGCCAAGTCTCTGAACCATGCACAAGCACTGACTTGACGTTGGTGTTGAAAATCCGTATCTTGTTCCGCATGCTGAGTGCAGAAGATCTCCACACTGGTTTCGGGCTAATGAATGCCTGTCTTGCTTTTCCGATTGACTTTGACGTCCTCGTCGGTGCCGCCTGTAGTTGAAACAGTGCTTCCTAGATAAGTGAAGGAGGTTACTTCCTTCAAGTTTCTCCCGTTGATGGTGATGGTGATTGGAGTTTGTTGTTGTTGTTGATGGTGGTGGTGCGGTATCTTCATCACTTCTGTCTTCTCTATATTCACCTGAAGTCCCGTCTTAGCTGCCTCACCTCTTCTGTCAACTTGTTAGTTTTTGCCTGCAGATCTTCAAGTTTATGTGACATTAGGCACAAGTCATCGGCGAAATCCAAGTCTTCTAGGTTCTTTTCCGCAGTCTAGCCAGCGTATCCCCCTCTTCTCGCTCCCGACTGTTTGCTGCATGATCCAGTCCACCACAATAAGGAATATCATGGGGGATAGTAGGCGACCTTGTTTCACTTCTGTCTTCACTTCACTCGAAAGGCGTCACTGAGCTTCCCATTGTGAATTACTTGGCATGTGGCATCTTCATATAGTTGTTGAATGAGGCCGATAAAGGTTTGCGGTACTCCGTAGTAGTGAAGCAGTTTCCAAATTACCTGTTGGTCGACGCCGTCAAAGGCCTTCTCAAAGTCGATGAAGTTGAGGCAGAGAGCTGATTGCCATTCTATGCTCTGTTCTATGATGATGCGAAGCGTTGCAATTTGGTCTGCACATGATTTGTACTTCCTGAAGCCTGCCTGTTCCGGTCGTAGTTTTGAATCCAGTGCATCTTTAAGCCTCTCCAGGATGATGCGGCTTAATATTTTACTTGGGGTGGACAGGAGAGTGATTCCTCGCCAGTTCTTGCAAGCACTGAGGTCTCCTTTCTTCGGCAGTTTGACAAGGTAACCCTTCTTCCAATTGTTGGACAGCTAGAACGTGTTTGGCAATATCCTCTCTCATACTCGATCAGTATGCACCTTGTTTGAGATAGTCGACTGTCCATGAGAGACTTGCATGAGCTAACTGATGGCATTCTTGTGTCGTTTGGTCGCGTAGACATTTCGGAATCACTGTCAACCAGCTCCTGTCGTATTCTCGCCAAATCAGCATCCCATAAGTATTCATCCATAGGCGTTCTTTCTGCGTCAACAACGTTCTCAACTCTTTATTTCCCACAGACGTTTGTGTCTCCGTTCCTTCAGTTATGGATTTTATCACTTCTTCAAGTGTAGGATCCGACTTTTGAAGGCGAATAAGTCTTAATGAGTCTTGTTCTGCTGCATGTACACCGTATACGATCTCAGGTAGATCATTTTCTTCATCTAATCGTCCACGTGGTTTTTAATTCTTTGTAACCATATGAAGAAATAAGCAGTCGAAAATAAGGTTAAGTTTCTGGACGTCGTTAAAAACCTATATATTCTTTGTTTTAAAAAATAGAAAGAAACGACCGTTTTCTGATTGGTGCATTCAAGGTCAGGTGACAGTTGTTCAAGGACAGTGAGGTTTCACTTTACAGTCTGTGTGGATTTTAGTCATGAATCAACATGAATGCTGACTCAGCAACGTAGTAATGAGATCCTGAAAAAACACTTGACACTATTCTACAATGCATCTTACTTATCGGTGCTTCTGAATCAATGCTTGTCGGTTTCTATCGAATTAAGAGAGTTTATCTGCACGAATGTTTTAGTGATAATGCCTAGCAAGTGATTAGGTTAGTTTAGGTAATCTAACTGTGGTTTAGAGGTTTGTGGGGATTTTATTGGGTGCGCCCTTGTGATCTCATCAGAGATTGGATCCAGGACCATCGCGAACTGATAGTAGTAGGGATTCGATCGCCAGCGGGGTTAGCTGCGTGTACTGTTAAGTAGTCACATACTAAGATGATACATATATTCAATGTTCCTAGGTAGGTTTTTAATGGTATGTTAGCTCATGTCAGCCAATGAGGAGCAACAACCAAAAATTTATCTAATTGATGCTTGATTCATTTGAATCTATACCATCCACTGAACTACGTTGTGCACATTCGTGCGGCAGGCAATACAACCTGACTGCTGCGGGGTTCGAACTCGTGGTCCATTGGTTGGTAGCTGACTGAACCACAACTCCACAAACGTCACCTCACATACCGGAACCTGGAATAAATGCATTATCAATATCAACGTAGGACCAGGCATTGCTGAGTAACGGTCCCACTTGCCACACCTCATATCAGCACATCAAGTAAAAAGGTAGTGAGGTGAAGGATGAACATAAGAGAATGCAGTCAAAAGAAATATAAAGTACTAAAAGAGAGAAACCAAGAATGAATAAATGGTGAGATTCGGTGTAGCGTGGTTAAGATGAGGATAATGTGTGTATACATCTGCACCACTCACATCGGTTCTCAGCCATATCACCTAGGGTCTCCAACCACTGCTTCCTCTTATCCCGCCGACCCCAACCACTTAGTCTGCATCGTCCTACATGGCTTAAACCAACAGTCAGAGACTTCATACATTGGTGCCATGTTTCAGTTTGGCCACCTCGGCCTTTTTCCAGCCTGGACCCACCTCAGCCAACATTGTGTGACGAGGCAATCGGTGACTAGGCATACGTAGTACGTGTCCCAACCATCTCAGTCGATGAAGGTTCATAACCTCGTCAACTGACTTACCTCTACTCCCTCCCTAAAACTCTACACCTAACTTCTGCATTACTCACGTGATGTGGTGACACCATGGAATACATCCTATACTACGAAGGCAACGGTCGTCAAACACTTGAAGCCTTTTTATATCTTCCACTTTCAATGGTCATGTTTCACAGTCATAGAGTAGAACAAAACGGACTGCTGTGCAGTACACGCGACCCATAGTAGACAAACAAATTTCACGGCGGCGCCACAGATGGAGTAAATTGGCAAAAGCCAATCAAGCCTTTTGTATCTGTGCAGAGATTTCATCAGCAACTAACCTAACAGGGTTGATCCTACTTCCCAGGTAAGTGAAGTAGTCGACACACTCAACCATTACACTCACTCTATATTGTTAGCCGTGGCACCGCTGAAGACCAGTTGTGGAGCAAAAAATTTACATTTGGCTGGTGAGAATCGCATACCAAACTCTCTCAAATTGGCATTCATAGTGTTCAGAAAACTCTTCACTTAACAGGACTAAATACATCTATTAGAGAACAGTAGTTTTCCTTAAAAATTTAAAGTGATTGAAGTAAATAGTAATTCAATGTGAACAATACAATTATTACACAACTACTTACTTTATTGTATCATTATTTTCCAGGCTTTTAGTTGTATCATCAGCTCTAATCTCTTCAAAATCAGCATTGTTATGTGAAAAATTACCAATACTAGTCATACTACTGCTGTAATTAGTGATACCATCATCATCATCATCAACAGGATCATTATCAATATTATTAGTATCGATTTGACAATTCCCACTAACAGTAGTAGTAGTTGTAGTAGTAGACGGAACGACAGTACCATTAGTATACAAATGTGATTCTATTACAGTTGAATGAATTTTCCGCTTTTTACTAATAGAATTACGGGATTCAGATTGTTGTTTAGTTATATTTGGTGTATTACTTTTGTTATTGATGGTGGTAGTAGGAGTGCCGTTATTCCATCTTACACTGTTATTATTCCCATCATCATCATCATCATCATTACCCATATTGTCTTCCAGAAGAATTAAACGTTTACGATTTCCATTTGTTTTTTTTAATGCTTTCATTTTCAATAGTTTATTATGAAAAAGTTTATGTACATATTCAACAGGCCTTTCAATAGATGTAGAAACAAATCCATTATCATTTGTAACTACTTCTGAGACAGCAGTAGCGGTAATAGTAGAAGTAGTAGTAGTAGTAGTAGTAGTAGTATTAGTAGTAGTATTCGGTGGATAGATGATCAAATCTGAAGGACAACAAATTGTATCCATCTGTTGATGAGATGATGATAAAACTGGTTGTGAATGGTTATCATGTTCCGGTGAACTGTTAATAATAATTGTAGAATCAATTAAATTTTGAAGCTGATGAAAATCTGACAGGAAGAAGACGAAAAAAACATAAAAATTCAAAGATACACACCATAATAATAGTAATAATAATAATAATAATAATAATACTATTTATTGATATATACTTGTAATTCTCCGTTGTTTCATTGGATTGAATTATCCAACCTCTATTAGCATATGGGCTCCTGTGTGGATACCATGAATGTCAATTATGGTAATTTAGTTGATTGTAACTAGCAGAAGAATTTAGGATGCGCGTTTCATCCTATTTGGAACTTGTCAGTTGGAAGTACCTGCACCTCAGTCAGTGAGTGATGTGGTTCCCACTGAAACTCGAACCTCGCACCTATCTGAAACGCGCATGCTAGCCGCAACCAACTAAATTACAATAATAGTAATAATTTATAGGAAGCAGATATAGTAACTACACTCACAAACAGACAAAACATAGTCAATTCGATCAAGCAACGACAACAACGATGGAACGTGGTCGGCAGTGTAATTTAGAACGCATGTTTCGTCCAATTTCAGACTCATTAGTTGTGGCTGGCTCATTAATTCAGGGAGTTGACTTTTAACCAGTGGGTCAATGGTTCAAGTTTCAGCAGTCAAGTCTTAGTATGATTAGCCCTCATATACTACCGGAAATGCATTGGACATACCAAGCCACCGTCTACCTCGACATGCTAAGCTAGGGGAAATTGGATCAAATTGAAAGACAGTTCACGATGACCAGACCAAAACCTAGCATCAATTGATGAAGTCCCTGACTGGTGTGAGGTTCATGAGACGAAATGAGTCTTGAATATTCACACTAATCCTCATCTTCAAACAGTTTATTCTTTCATACAATTTTGTCCACTTGAATATCACTTCTTTTGTATCCATCTTTTCTTAGTGTAATTCCGTGAAGTGTGGCACCTTGAACCAATGTACTCCTGTGCGAGGTTCTACATAGATTTTGCCAGTCAATCAGCATACTACTGTAAAAATGGGTATATAGTTGCTGGATGGATTTCAAACTCTTCGCAGTGTATCTGCCTTCCTTCAATTAGCGATGTTATTCCTTATTGGGGTTCAAGCTAAAAAACTTACATAGAACAACACGTTGAATTACTTGCTTACCGATGGAATGTAAGACAAGACACTCACATCTATGAGAACTAAGCATAACTAAGAAACATATTGAAAGCTGTTTCGGGCTAACAAGTAACCAGGGTAGAAAAGACTATGTAAGCCGAACCGTTAATTCAGAAATGTCACTACAGGAATTGTTTTATCTGAACAACAGAAAGAATGAGAAAAAAAAAATCAATAAATCATGAGTGTCCTTACATTATACCTACAGAGATAATCTTGTTCGCATACACTTTGGCATCTTGATTAGACCGCCTACGCTATTCAGACTTTGTATATTTCGCATACATTTTACGGAATACAATATTATTGTATATTTTGTGTGGTCTGAAGATTCAATTATCTTCTCTTTGAATCACCTGGTGTGTGACTTTGCTTGTGGTAGGGGCAACTCGGCGTAGGATAATAATAATAATAATAATGGGATTATGTAATTCGAAGACATAGATTATCTGAAAAATGTGATGTATTAGCGCTATACATTTCGAACAATCTGATCACACATTTACTTGTTAAGGCACTATTATATATGAAAACTGGAAGTGGGGGAAGGACACATATGACATAAAGGAATTCAATAATAAGAGAGATAATGAGAGGAATAAAAGATAAGACTTGAAGACAATCTTGGTAATACGATAAAATAAGCATTACCAAGGTAGGCTTAATGTAAGGACAAACCGTTTTTGCACACACAATGGGGGGTTAAATTTATTTATGGCTAGCGCCTCAACAAAACTTAAGTATACACCCCTGACAGTTTCTGTACAAAATTGTAAAGGCTGTGACTCTTATCAATGATATGTTTTGCAATGGAGGCGGATGATGGTTGTCTGCCATCTGCGCTTATCAATGTTTGTGAATCCAGCTGCTTTCGTAGCCACTTTGGAACATGTTCCCCTACCCTCAAGTGCATATCGCGATTCGTCCTCCCTATGTATGTTTGTCCACACACACATGTAAATTTATAAACGCAATGGGATGTGACACAATCGTTTATACAGCGTTGAGGTCTAGGTAGCAGCAGGTGTTTGGTCTTCTCAACTATGATAAGCTTAGCTGCATAGTACGTTTTGTTAACAGCAGACCTTAACCTTCGTCTTAATATTATGCTATTAGATTCTCCTCTGTATGGTAACGCGAGGACTCAATGGATGATGTTATCAAAATACTAACGGAAATATTAGTGGAAAATGGATATCCACTGAAGTTCATAAACCGCTGCAAAAATCAGCCAGGATTCAAACCTGATCTGTGCTCTGTTTCGAAGAAATGCGTTTACATCACACTATCATACAGAGGAGAATCTAATAGCATAATATTAAGACGAAGGTTAAGGTCTGCTGTTAACAAAACGTACTATGCAGCTAAGCTTATCATAGTTGAGAAGACCAAACACCTGCTGCAACCTAGACCTCAACGCTGCATAAACGATTGCGTCACATCCCATTGCGTTTATAAATTTACATGTGTGTGTGTGGATAAACATACATAGGGAAGACTAATAGTCATATACACTTGAGGGTAGGGGAACATGTTCCAAAATGGCTACGAAAGCAGCTGAATTCACAAACATTGATAAGCGCGCAGGTGGCAGACAACCATCATCCGCCTCCATTGCAAAACATATCATTGATAAGAGTCACAGAATTGATATCAAGACAGCCTTTACAATTTTGTATAGAGACTGTCAGGGGTGTATACTTAAGTTTTGTTGAGGCGCTAGCCATAAATAAATTTAACCCCCCATTGTGTGTGCAAAAACAGTTTGTCCTTACGCTAAGCCAACCTTGATAATGCTTATTTTATCGTATTACCAAGATTGTCTTCAAGTCTTATCTTTTATTCCTCTCATTATCTCTCTTATTATTGAATTCCTTTATGTCATATGTGTCCTTCCCCCACTTCCAGTTTTCATATATAATAGTGCCTTAACAAGTAAATGTGTGATCAGATTGTTCGAAATAATCTACGTCTTCTAATTACATTATCCAAATTCTTAAAGGGGACTAATTGTTTCAAATAATAATAGGGACAATAATCATCCCCCCCGCCCACCCCCACAACCGGGTAGTGGTACACCAGATAGGAAACCCAAGACGAGGTTAACACAAATAACAACCAATCAGATGGAGGAAATTACAGAAACTTGCAAAGAACTGTTACTCATCTCTTGTCGACATAATCCAAAAGACTATGGATTGAAATGTCAACTGATTATCTCAGCTGTAAAATGTCAATTGTTCTCAACAAAAGGCTCACTTCATCATTAAACAACACAATGAAACAGATAATATAATGTAACGGATAGACTAATGCGAAACACGAGGACGTTAATAAATCTAAGGAAACACTTCACCTGGATACGAGTAGCTATAGTTCTAACTCAGACCTGACACTTCACGCAGCTATGAAAATCAGAAGATAAAGACCGACCTATGAGGAAAATAATTCCGTTTAACAAAAAACACCATAATTTATATCCAGTTTCTCAACAGGAAATCAAGTCACTAGGTCACAAAGTTGAATACTTATTCTGATTGGTCAGTTGAAGGACAAAATTGTCCAATAAGGGTTTTTTCCTACCCACATACAGTAGCGAACTGACCACTTAAAATGCTGATTTCCATTTAGGCTGCTTCCAATCAGAATCGTTTACTGTTTTCTCAGGCTAATACGCATCATAGGCGTACAAAGATGCCTTCTTATTTTGTCGAGATCATGTTAAGGAGATAAATTAACAATGAAAAGAGAAAGTCGTTGATTTGCAAATTTTACGATTGCCTATTGAAAAAAAAAAGGCGACACGTAACTGATTTCAGACAAGGTGTTCACTCCATTTACATGTTCCTATGTCTATACAAATTTAGTCAGGAAAAAAAAATAACCGTTTTGTAAGACGGCGCGTTTCATCCTACTTGCGACTCGTCAACTGGATGCAATCACCTCGTATTGAGTGATATTGTTCCACTAAGACATGAACCCAAACAACACAAAGAGTGGTTATGGTTTGAAGCGATCGGCCTTAGGTTCAATTTGAGTCATTGTGAGAACAATGGTACTCACTGGGAGACAGATGCGTCCAGCTAACGAGTCTCAAGTAAGAAGAAATGAGAATTCTGGGCTTCGCTGCTTTGACCACTATCCATTTTTACTACTAAATCATCATCATCATTATCAACATAGGACCAGGCATTACTGCGTAACAGTCCAACTTGCCACACCTCATATCAGCACATCAAGTAAAAAGGTAGTGAGGTGAAGGATGAAGATAAGTGAATGCAGTCAAAAGAAATATAAAGTACGAGAAGAAAGGAAAGAGGAGTGACAAAATGGTGAGATTCGGTATAGCGTTGTTAACATGAGGATAATGTGTATATACATCTGTGCCACTGACTTCGGTTCTCACCCATATCACCTAGGGTCTCCAACCACTGCTTCCTCTTGTCCCACCGACACCAACCACCTAGTCTGCATCGTCACCCCACATGGCTTAAACCAACAGTCAGAGACTTCATACATTGGTGCCATGTTCTAGTCTGGCCACCTCCACCCTTTTTCCAGCCTGGACCCACACCTCAGCCAACATTGTGTGACGAGGCAATCGGTGACTAGCCATACGTCATACATGTCCCAACCAGCCATCTCAATCGATGAAGGTTCATAACCTCGTCAACTGACTTACCTCTACTCCCTCCCTAAAACTCTACACCTAACTTCTGCATTACTCACATGGTGTGGTGACACCACGAAATGTAGCCTATACTACGAAGTCAACGGTGGTCAAACACCTGAAGCCTTCTTATATCTTCCACTTCAAATGGCCATGTTTCACAGGCATAGAGTAGAAGAGAGCGGACTGCTGTGCAGTACACGCAACCCTTAA